CTTCTATAAATGTTAATCACTTTTTTGAATATTTAAGCAAGAAAAATGAAACCTAGGTATAAACCTTACACCAAAGGGATAGTTTTCTTCCTAATATATTTCTAAGGGAAGCAGTAGAGAAAAAAAGGAGATATTCAGATAAATTTTTCCCTATGTATATTTAGGAATGAGCCAAGTACGAACAATCTAAGGAGTCATTAGCTTCATGGTAAGCACAGGTTACCTTCTCTCCATTGACCACTTCATACCTCAAAGTCTCAATTGGAAGGATATCTCTGGCATTTACAGTAATAAAATTGAATTCAGAAAAGGCATTCATTAATTTCTTTTTATGTAAGCATTAGCCCTAAAAATCAGTATTATTTGAAAATACAAGATATTGGGCTTTGTGTGATTCCGTTACTTCTCATAGCCACTAAGCCTATAATATTTCATAATTGTTTTAATTATGACCAATTTTTCACTTTAAAAGAAACACAAGTTATACATTAATTACGTGTAGCCCTTAAAATAGCAACATTTTAGAGGCATTAATTTTAATGAAACATTGCCATTAGAACTTCAGAGCAAGTTTATTATTTCTTTCAGTTTTTATTATTTTCTATTTTGTGTGTTTCAGCTACTTTATTTTATAGAAAATAGATAGTAGATAGATGTATGAATACCACTAGTTTTGTAAGGATCCTTGTAATGCTAAGTAACCAGTGTTATAATAGTTTATCTCTCAATTGATACTTTAGTTACTTAAATTAACTTAGCCCCTTGGACTTTAAGACTAGGCAACCTAGAGGTGGGATACACTTTAATAAAGCAAAGACATACCTAGAAGAATATAAGAACACTTCTTTACCATCTGCTTCTGATTTGTTTCAAGGATTATGTGGTTAAGAAATAAAGTAAATTAGGAATGTGACAGTAGAATTGAGTATAGAATCTAAAGAGATATTAATGCCCCATACACTTAAAGCCAAGAGGCAGGATGATTTAGTATTGGGGCTAAAAACATGCTTTTTGGGGTCTAGCATCTGAGTTTGATTCTTAATTCTGCAGTGTTCTGTTTGTCTAAGATGTTTTGCCTCTCTGAGACTCATCTAAAAATGGAAATAATAATACATCTCTTTAAAGCTATGGGAAATAGGGAATGAAATAATGTATGTGAAAACTCTTAGTAGAGTGCCTAGCACAAAATAGGGATGGTTATTAAGTTGTTAATCTGAAAAAAGATTGTGTTCTTAAGGAAGGGAAGTGTAGAGAGCATGCTAAGTGAAGGCAGTATCTGGCTTCTTGTCCACATACCTGGCCATGTCTCTCTTTAGTCTTCACAATACCCACGCTTTGGCCATGGGTGCCACCATCACATTATTGGGAAAAATTTGCAAAATTCATCAGCATCGACTGCAGTGAATGCCTGGACCTTTTTAGTCATATCTGCACATATCACAGGAACAACTGAGAAGTAACTGTCTTCTCTCCCATCTAGGTTGCTGTCTACATTTCCTTCCCATTCTGGGTCTCCTACCTTAACGGCATCTTCTTAGCCACTTCTTTCTTCTCGAATTTATCGCAGAAATCTGACGCTGAAAATATCCTTAAAAATCAGTAGTTTTATCTTAATGTTCCTTTAAAACCTGAAGGAAACAAAAAAGAATTATGGCATCAAGGACCAAAAAAAAACACAACACCCTTTCTACACTAACACTTGACAGGGCTTTAACAGAAGTACTTACTTGATCTTCTCCTGAGGCAAGTCTATTTTATGTTTTTAACTATTGGCATTTCCTAAGAGTATATAACAGTGGTATGAAACACTGGCAATAGACTCTGGTAACCACCATTCTACTATCTGTTTTCACAAGTTCAGTTTTCTCAGACTCCACATATAAGTGATGTCATATAGTATTTGTCTTTCTTTGTCTGGCTTATTTCATTTTCACTTAGCATAATGCCTTCTAGGTTTATCCATGTTGTCACAAATGGCAAGATTTCCTTCTTTTTATGGCTGAATAATATTCCAATATATATACATACATGTATATGTCTTATACATGTATATACATGTAAAACACACATGTATAATACGTGTGTATGTGTGTAGAGATATACATCCATTCATTCTCCAATTGCTGTTTCTTTTCCATGTCTTCGCTATTCTGAATAATGTTGCAATGAACGTGGCAGTGCATATCTCTTGAGGATAATGTTTTTGTTTTCTTGGAATATATATATATATATATACACACACACACACACACACACATATATATATGTATATATGTATGTGTGTGTGTATATATATGTATATATATATATATGTATGTATATATAATCTCCAGAAGTGGGATTGCTGAAACATGGTAGTTCTACTTTTAATTTTTTGAGGAACCTCCATACTGTTTTCCATAACAGCTGTACCAATACACATTGTGTGCTGCATAAGGGTTCACTTTTTCCACATTCTCACTAACATTTATTATCTCTTGTCTTTTTATATTAGCCATTCATCCTCATGGTGGTTTGCTTTGCATTTCCCTGACAGTTTATGATGTTGAGCACCTTTTCACGTGCACCTTTGGAAAAACATATAAAGAACTCATACATATAAATAGTAAAAAACACACAATTTAACTTAAAAAATGGGCAAAAGACATGAATTGACTGACATTATTTTAATCTAAAAAATTGTTGCCCTCTTGATGGCTACTACCTAAATATTGACTCTCTTTCTCTTAAGTTCTAACATTTCCCACTTTCAGACACTTCGCTAAGGTACTATTCCACCTTTTGAGTTTCTCTCCAGCTGCTCCCTTCTTGCTAATGGCCAGCACAGCCTATTGCTCATGGGGTCATGCCATCCTGGCTCAAGCTTGGCTATAGTACTTAACATCCTCTTAATCTAAAGGAAATCTCATATCCTTTTCACCAAACACTAAAAATAAGTGCCATCTCCTCTTTTTGTTCTGCTTCCCAGCTAATACCAGCCAATCTTCTTTTCCACTGAGATTCAGGCATGAATTTCTGCACCTTTGAGCTCTTTGGATAGTTCCTTGAAGTCCTTTTCACATGGAAAAGAAGCACGCCCCTCTTCCCCCAAAAATGGGAGAAGAAAAGCCTAGAACTCCAAAATGTTCCTCCAGGAAATTCTTACTCATCAGTCCTCAGCCATTAATTTACTAGCCTTTTCTACATATAGGCTTGAGGTGTTGATGGGTTAAGTGGACAAGTTCTGCATACATGGTCTAGCACCTCTGTAGAAATGCGTGGGCACTTAACACCCATTGTGCTCTGCTTTCAAACCCCAGTCAGGCATCTAAAACAGCAAGAAGTCTCTCTGCCTTGCTACAGGTTATCAAAAGGCAGCTGAACTGGGTAATTTCTCTTAGGGCAAGACTCTGACTCCCTTAGAAGGAACTGGCAGGTGAACAGTGAGGTGACCAAATTTGAACTAGCTGTTCACGTATTTGCATTTACTCTTGATAACTTTCTTTGAATCAATCCATAAACATTTCCTATCTACATATATTTGGCAAGCACCAGGAGTTTTTCTGAATAACTTAACACTTGCTCTTGAAGCAGAATTATTTTAGAGACTTTTCACTCTAATGCAATGCTTCTGAAATGTACATACGTCATTAAGAAGAGAATAAAAGCATGATCTTCTGTGTCCAAGGGTACATTCTGAAGCATCTGTAGCCTTCAAGATTGGGTGGGATATAGATACCATGGGGCATATGTAAAAAATATTTTAAAGGAATTAATTTTCAGATCTTCAACTCTCTCACGTACATGTAACCAAAAATGACCTCCCCAAGAAGGAACACATAGTTGAGTTTCACTCCCTTGTCTAACTTGGCCTAATTTCCCTTCATAATTTTTCTTTTCCAACTTAGATCTTATTTCTTTCCTCCCGGATTTTAGCACCTTCTATTATTCTAGGAGGTTAAAAACTCCAAAATGGCAAAGATAGCAACAATTTTCAAAATATTGATTTTGATTTTGAAAAAGGAAATGAATCTGATGAACAGACAACAAATAATAGATATTTTTTAGCTAGGTGGTTTCCATCTATTTGCACTCAATAACAGTAAAAGGCGCACATTACTGAGTTTTCATCTGACAAGTTATTAAATAGTTTTCTTGATAATAGATTACTACATGGTTTGAAATATGTAACTAAAAAGAAGTTTAAAGGATTCAGAGATATTGTAACTCCTTGAATTCTAAGTTATCTACACGTGTGAACAAGCCTCCTCCAAGTTTACACTAACAAAGGAAAAATAGAATTGATGCTAAATGCTATCTCATTCTAATAAGTAACACACTTTATCCTCAGAAATATTAATTACAAAAAGTCACTTTCACTCATTACTATGGATTTTTATAAAATTTTCCTTTTAATGGTTAATATTAAAAATAGTATCTTATATTATATTTACATATTATATGTGTTTATATTTAAATAGATTACATATAATATATTATATGTATGTGCAGGTCCAAAATGTTGTATTTATAAAGCTATTAACTGCAAAACAAGTTTATCAGTAGGGAATTAGTTAAATAAGCTATGGTATAGCTTTACATAAGAATACTATGTGGCTACAAAAAGAAAGTGAGAAATCTGTCTATCTAATGACTGAAAGAAGTGATTTCCAGGACATAATGCTGTGTCAGGCTAAATAATGCACTCTCACCAAAGATATCACATCCTAATTCTCAGAGCTTGTGGGTGTTGCCTTATATGGTAAAAGATAATTTGCAAATGTGATTAAATTAAGGATCTTGACATGAGGAGATTATCCTGGATTATCCAGGTGGGCCCTAAATGTATTCTCAAGTATCTTAATAAGAGGGACCAAGGGGAGATTTGGCCTAAGAAGTGAAGGCAATGTGAAGACTGAAGCAGATAATGGAGTGGTTTGGCTAGGAGCCAAGGAATATCAAAGCAGCCCCTAGAAGCTGCAAGAGGCAAGAAAGAGATTCTTCTGGGGAACCCACAAAAGAATCAGCGCTTCGAACTCCTTGATTTTAGACCAAAAAGACTGAATTCAGGCTTCTGACCTCCAGAACTCCAAGGTAATGAATTTATGTTTTTTATGCCACTATATTTACTGTAATTTGTTACAATAGTAGGAAATGAATATTATTGTTAAAAGAAAAAAAAATTGGTATGTTTTATATAGTATGTTCCCTTTTATGAAAGAATAGATGAGGGCAGAAGAATATATACAGGATTTCCCCAAAAATGTATATACACTTTAACAGCTGATTTCTATTACATTTTGAAAATGAAGTGTATTTTAATGAATACTGCCTTTATAATTATTCAGTGTCTAAAAAACACTGGAATTATTCCAGGAACCTAATAAAAGTGGTTACCTACAGGGAGTAAGTGCAGAAACAAGACTTTTCAATGTCTGCCTTATTATATTATTTTTATTTTGAACCAAGTGATTGTATAAGCTAATCAAAAAACAAACAATAAATAAATATATAAAATTTAAAGAGGAAAACAGGTGAGAAGTTGAAAATCCTGATTCTTAAAAAAAAAATAAATCTGTTTTCTCTCCACTAAAAAATAAGTAAAAGAATAAATAAATGATAAGTATGATTTTTTAAACTTAGTATGTAAAATGAACTGAAGATCGAATCCTTTCCATTATTTAGATTTATAGGAAATATTTTTAACATCAATTTTAACAGGTTAGAAAGACACATAGTTTTTGTTTCTGTGTTTTTAATTATGAAAACAGGAGAGGGAAAGGGTTTAAAAATCAGTGTTACATGGCAAGCATTAATTTCCAATAAAATTTTATTCATTTTCTTAGGAATTCATGTAAAATTTGTATCCTGATTATAATGTACCCATTAAAATTCCACATATGAGATGAACTGCATTTTTGTCTGTTGATAGAGATATTAATGCATTGCCTCTTCAGATTTGGAAACCTGGGTGGTGCTGAAGCTCACCTACAGCCAGGTTCATTCACTTTACTGCTTGCAAGTCACATAAATATATGAGTAGAAATGACGTGGTGGCTGTGTTAATATTGTTTGTTTTTCCTAATTGCTATATGCACTCAGCTGGGATAATCATTGAGAAGAAATGTCCAGAATCCTGTCAAGGATCTAGTACAGCACAGATTTTTTTCAAAGACAGTTGGCAATATTTTCTATGGAAACATCTTTTTATACCTTATGGAAGACTGAAAGGGCTCTCTCCATTGCATGTCAGCACATCTCAACCCCAATCCCCTTCCCTCACAAAATCTCCATTTCCTGCCTGTTGCTCAAATTTTTACTACATTTTTCTGTTCAGCCAAAAGCCTTTTTAGACTTCAAGTCTGATGCCCTCTTTATATTGTCTTATAATAAAGCCCTATATTCAGACTTCAAGCTTTAATTTCTGTATCAGTCAGCCAGCTATTGCTACAATTATGCTACATAACAAACCACCCACAAACTTAGTGGCATAAAGAATTAATCCACTTGTCTATGTGGTCACTGGGTGTTTCTGCTTCATTAAAGGACTGAAAATCAACTAGGGCAACTCTACCTCATATGTCTTATTCTGGACCCCAGGATAAAGGAGGAGGGGCTGTTTGGAAGTTAATAGGGAGCATTTTGTTCTTATGTTAGAGGTTGGGGGCTCAGGAATTTTGGAGTTTAGAAACTTATTTATCAATAAAGTTGGCTTTCCTGCAATAATTTGGATTTCATACTCAAAGGTGAGCAGCAAACAATATGTCCTCAACAGTGAACAGATTAATTTCCATAGGTGGGAATTTCTGGGACAATTTGGATCTAGAGACTTTAAAGAATGTAATACATAATTTAATAGCACATAAAATGTACCTCTTTATGCAGTTAGCTCATACTTGTATCTTAGTCCTTGGAGTATACATAGGACTAGTTAACAATTTAAATATGATAAAATTAAATATATTAATTTAAAAAATAAGCAGAGAATGACCATAGAAGAAGAAGGAAAAGTGAAAGAATCAGAGAAGGGCTCTTGTTGAAGGGTATGGCTAACAACGGCAATGTCTTGGAGAAACCAAGGAAAAGGAAAAATATAGATGGTACCTTTGGTGGCCTTGAACAACATACTTTCAGAGGACTTGATTTGATGAAAAACAGATAATTGGATGATTTGTATGTAGGATGAATGAATAAATGAATGAAGATATTATTATTTTATTTTCCCTCATTGGAATGAGGATAGCTATTATTCACTTTTAAATATCTATAGGGTTAATATACTGAAAAACTTAATTGGGCAATGTAAATTGTAGCTTAAAACTTTTCCAAAAATTTAACAAATTCTAGGTACTTTGTAGAAAATAAAATTGGAAAGAAAGAATCTAAAATAATATTTTAAAAATATCTCTCTCTTTGTGTTTAGAGATAAGCATATAGTGAATGATTGGGAAATAGTACATTCTGGTTAATTATGTAGTCTGTTAAACCAAATTACACTTCCAATTTCTTTGAAAAGATAGCAATACAATATAATTAAGATAGTATAAGACCTAATCTAGAAGTCAGATGATCACTTTTTGATCATGGTGGTGGAGCTTGGGATATGGGAAATGTCCAGAAGGCAACCAGAGCCCCAAAGTCTGAAGATGTTCATGAAGAGCTTTGGCTTTCGGTGTGTAGCTCCACACAGCAGGTTATAGCAGGAAGACAGCTCTAATGCAATGGAAATAACACTGTACCTAAAAACCAGAAGATCTGGGTTGGACTGGGTCTTCTAACTGCACTGAATCCCTGGTGAAACTATTTGAACTTTAATTCTCATTTTTCTACAGAGGAATTGTACAACACACTGTGCTTTGGACCCATTCTATACCAGTAGACTGAGCTTTGAAGACACATGGACCGGATTTAATTTAATCACTTTACTTACTAGTTACATAACCTTGCATAAAGCACTCTGAATTAAGTTTTAGAATCTGTTTAATGGGAATAACCACAACTCCTTAACAGGGTTGCTGGGAACAAAAGCAAGGTATTATGGCACACCCAGCATATAATTAGCAATTATTCCTTACAGTAATCTGTAATTATGTACATCTTCATATTGGATTATTATACAAATTAAATTAGTACCTAGATCAAAGTATCTAACACAGTATCTAACATGTCATAGATATTTAAACAAATGTACTTATCCATTCAAGATGTAAGAGAGATACTGACTCTCCCCTAAATTCAAATATTGCATGTATTAGAGCTTCCAAGATGGTAAGGTACAATCTTCCTCCTTCAGTCCATTCATGCAAATTTTATTGTTCCCATTTTTCAGAATGACACAATATCCACATTTATTAAACCAAACGATATATTTCATGTTGTCTGAGGAACACAAATGGATTCATGGGGACAATGGGATATATTTGAAATTGGAACAATCTTATCAATGTTTTTAGACTTTCAAATCCATTAACTACATTAATTTTAGAGTAATCTATTAGAAACACAAATATAACCCCATGATTTCCCTGCTTAAAACATTTCAACAGTTCCCCTACATCCCCTATCAAATGAATTCCAAACCACTTAATATAGTGTACACACTTTCCATTATTTTATTGCTTTCTATCACTCTAATTTTACTCTCCCTACATTCCCTGCCTCACACTATTTGGTCTGGTAATTGCTCAGTGCTTGTATTTCCCTAGATATATGGCTCTTCCTTACACTCATGGCCTTGGTTAAGCTGTCTGCTCTGTCTGGAAAACCCATGTCCTTTTTACTCAGTTCATTCTGACTCAACCCTTAAAACTTAGCCCAGATGTTCTCTTCGCTAACTCAACCACCTGTGCCCACACTTTCTTCAGCCCATCTCTCACTAGAATGTAAGCACATCAGGGTGGCTGTGACCATCTACCTCCCAGTCCCCAGTCTAAGTGCATAGGAAAAGGGTTCACCAAATCACCGCTGAATTAATATATAAATGAGGCAAATGAAGCCCAGAGAGTTTATGTACTGTGCCTAAATACCCATAACTAAATGTTTCCCTTGGGAATAAATTCTGCTGCATTTTTTTTTTTTTTTTTTTGGTCTTTAGAGGCCACAGAAAATAATAGTAATAGAAAATAAAACAATATAATATATAAATATAAAAATTAGATAAAATAACATAACCATTAATACTTTTTTCCCCATTTAGTGTTTTGAAATATGAAAGAAAAAAAAAAAAGGTATTCACCTGTTAAGAGGCAGCAGACTCTTAAAAAGTGTTAAAATATAAAACACTCATACCATCTGGATAATTTATTGGTTGAAAAATATATGGGAATGTAATAACCATATAATTACCAAAGTAGTGTTTTCCTAAAACAAAAGAAAAAAATTCATAACATATGAAGAGAAATAAGTAACTTGACTTTTCTTTCTATTTATTTTTTAATGTTGTTTGTCATGGAAAAGGTGTAGGAAACCTAAGCTGAATAGTGCAGGAAAATAAATTAAGTGAATGCTGGCATATTTGCAAGCCAAACGGAAAGAAAGCAGCTCTTGCCTGTACAAAGAATGAGATTAACAGGAAACATTACAGACAAGATGCTCTGAGAGGGGATTAAAATCAGCAGCAAAGCAATTAATAGCTCTGATCGTTTTCAAGTAGTCTAAAGAAACCCTACTGGATTGAAGCACGAGTTTGATCAGTCATTCTTTACCTGTCCAAGAATGAGGACGAATGAGTCATAATGGCAAACAAATAGGTTAAATTAAGTGGTGATTCATAATAGTTGAAATTTATCATCAGAGCCTACATCTTATGTAACACACACTTATTGCATCCAAAATGTTCTCCTAAGAAATCCAATGCCAAGTTTTTAGGCAATGTAGTTTGAATTGACACCAAGAAAAATGTTATGGACAAAAAGTCACACTAGACGTGGGCTTAAAGACACCCACCTCTACCAATTAGCAGACTTGTAGCTTTATATAGAGTGAAGGAAACACTTCTTACTTCCCTCATCTCATTAGGATGAAGCAATATGAAGGTCTCAGGGAGCTGTAATGGTGCTTCTTAGACTTCAGAGGAGGTCCATAATCATAAAATG